TCGAGGTTCTGGTCCACCTTAAATTTAGCTAATTCAATTAATATAAAAATGGAAGAGAAGCTGGAACCATCTTGATCTTTTGCAGAAAAAAAAAGATGAAAAACGTCATAGTTTCCCAGTTCTAGATTTTGTTATTATTTTTCTCCCTGCTACTTTCCACCTCCGGTTGGTTATAGCTGCTTAAAATATATTTATTGGAACAAACATGGGAACAGCCAGACTCGGGTATGTTTCCCTTCACCTCCTGCTTTTCCAAATTCTGATTTATGGCAGTTGTTTAATTAAAACTTCCCACCTAGTTAAGATTAGGTTATCAGTTATCAGTGAGAAGATAGGGCTTTTTTCTTGATTTTTCTCCCCTGTTGCATTTCATCTCTCATTAATTGGAGTCGCTTAAGACAGTGTTTTTCAACCTTGGCAACTTGAAGATGTCCGGACTTCAACTCCCAGAATTCCCCAGCCAGCGAATGCTGGCTGGGGAATTCTGGGAGTTGAAGTTCGTACATCTTCAAGTTGCCAAGGTTGAAAAACACTGGCTTAAGATATGTTAGTCGGAAGAAGTTCAGAGGAAGTAAATCCCTTGGAAAGTTTGGTTTCTATTTCAAACCCAAAACCAAATTTAGAGTTTGTATTTGAGTGGGTTTGTCAGTTCTCTGCTTTTTCCCTTTCTGTGCAAATTGTTTCAAACAAATAACTTTTTTTGGAGGGCTAGTGTTTCAACCCTCCATTTTCCCTTTCTTTCCTTTTGCTAAAATCCAGATCTGTCTATTAATATTATTGGTATTCTCAAGATTTCTTTCCTTTTCCAAGTTTTGATTTATGACTGTGGGTTAAATGAATCTTCTTACCAGTCTTTCATCTTGTCTCCTGCACGCTCCTGTTCAGTTGCTTTGGCTGGAAGCCAGCTTCTAGTGCAGCCATGTTGCCTTGCTGTCACCCCTACGCCAATTCAGAGGGCAAATATCTGACCTGCGAGGGACCTGTTGCCTCCCCCTGGGTCTGATGAGATGCTGCCCCTTCCCCCCCTTTACAGGGGGTTCTGATCCAAAAAGGATCTTGGAATAGCTTTGTCAGACAGGGTTCATGTGAAGCTCTTGAAAGCTCACCCCCCAACACGTCCGTTCAGCTGGAGAACTTCCGGTCGAAACTGTGCTGTGTGTATTTCTGTACTCAATTTATTTAACCACCTGTAATATACAGTGTTTGTATATTGGCTGCTCTTAACGCACTTGCTTTTGGCTATGCAACTTTCCAAACATATGCTGGTTTATAGGGAATTTTCTAAACTAAACGTTGTTTTTCATAACATTTTTGCAAGAAAGAATACGCGTGATGAAAACATTTTGCTCCTGTAGCCTGTGCTATGACAGAGTCCACTTACATCAACCAAAATTCATTCCGTTTATTATTTTTTACATTCTTCTTTAAAACTCAGGTAGAATTTATAGGCATGAGCTATAACAATGATCTTTGCAGAAAGTGAGACAGATGACTATTAATCACTATTAGCCACAAAGGTGCTATGAAACCCCCCATTTCATAGCCAAGGAGTGTGAGTTGTGTAGGTAAGTGAGAAGCATTATGTGACTGAGATTGGTTGGTGGTGACTAAGGTGAACCTGATCTTTTTCTGGAGAGACCCTTGGATCTGTATCCTGAAGATGTCGAGTTCCACCTCTAACTCAGCAAAGGAAGCTCAACTCCTCTCTAACATGAGGAGGCATAGTTCATAACTGCTTTATATACTTTAGGTTGTTCATGAGAAAGTCTTGCCGTGTAAGATTTTGCAAGGACCTTTTAATGACCTGCGACTGAATCTTGGATGGAGCTCTCAAGCAGGGTATAGCTGGTTCTCAACTGATGGCCACATTTGGGAACAGAATTTCCATTGCTAAGCAAGGCGGTTGTTGAAATAAGTCACACCTGATTATAATCATGTCTGATTATTAAGCAAATCGCTGCCATTATTCATCACATGGTCAAATCCAGCTTCCCCATTGACTTTGCTTGTCAAAAATTGGCTGGGAAGGTCCCAAACGGTAATCACATGACCTCAATGCACTGCCCTCATCATAAATGCATGTCCATTGTCCGTGCAATGAGGCAAAAAAGTATTGGAAAATGATTCAATCATGGTTAGAACAAATGGTGGGAGACCAAAACTTGTTTAAACTGGAAATTTTTCTCCTAGGCATAATACTGGAGGGGTTTAAGAAAGATACACTTTATCTAATTATACATGTACTAACTGCGGCACACATAACTTATGCACAATATTGGAAAAAAGAAAATACACCATCAGAGCTAGATATAATCAGAAAAGTGTTGGCCTGTGCNAACAAATTGTTTCCTGCAAAAGCCCACTCCACATTCACTCCTCTTTTGTTTCCTCTGGGAGGGGCCAATCACCACCAAGGTGTGGCTTCACTCCCAAGTCGTTGTTGTTCTTGTCTTCTGGCAGCTCTGCGGATGCACACACTGGGAACAGGCTCCAGCTGTTCCTCTGCCTCGCTGCTGTCTAGCTCCCTCTCTGCCTCCGACACAGAGCCCTCGTCTGAGCTTTCCTCAGCCCCCAGAACTGGCCCATGTTCCTCCCCAACCTCCTGACTGTCCAACTCTGCTGCCCACTAGTGGGCCACAACAGCTCCTGGGTGCACATGCACACACACTGGGGAATTGAGCTTCCACTTTCCAGTGTCCACATGCACACCAGTCATCTAGTTTTCCGGATTCTGGCATGCATGCATGTGCGAAGACAAGTTGTCCAGGAAGAACAATGGGCGATAGCTAGCATGCATGGAGAGATGGTTCTGCATGCCATTTCCGACACACATACCATAGGTTTGCCATCATGGCCCTTCAGTGTATTGGAAAGAACCACTCAAGGTGAATGATTGTGGAAAAATGGGGACATGCGTTCAAAAAAAGTGAACTTAAAGAAGAATTGCTCCATCAGAGCTGCCATTTTGAATAAGGTTTTCACCCTTGCAAACAATCCATGCTGTGGACATCTTCTAAATAATCTTCTATAGGAAATGTACACAAATGGGGGGATGGGGTCTCAGTGATATGCAACCCTTTGCCTCAAAAGCCTTGCTTGCAATTTTGGGGATTTCTCTAAAAGCGGCCTCTACCTTGTAATTAAAAAGTGGCTTTTGTTCTAACTGAATCAGCTTGTTTGAATATGGTTTCTGGCACATCATTCAAAAGTCAACTTTTGGCCCGTGTTTCAAACCATTACTATGAAAACAATATTTAAAGGTGCTGAAAATGTTTATGAAAATATCCATGGGCTTATATCATGGACACGTCATACAAATTTGGTTCATGTAACCTCTCTTTTTATAGGATTGTCTGTCTATCCCAGGGGTATCAAACTTGACTTCATTGAGGGCCGCATCACAGTTGTGTTTGGCCTTGGAGGGTCAGGGTGGGCATGGCCAGCTCAATGTCACTCGTGTTGCAGCCGCCTGTGGTGGCCCAAGTGCTCTGCCAGTGAAAATGGGCTCCCAAGCTCCATTTTTGGCTGTGATGATCTCCTGAAACCCCCTGCCAGCAAAAACAGAGTTTGGGAGTGCTGCTCATGGCCCTTGCGAGCTCCGTTTTCAGCTGCGATGGCCTCCTGTATCCCTCTGCCAGCAAAAATGGAGCTCGGGAGGGCTGCATACAGCCTTCCCAAGCTCCATTTCCCCCGGCAGAGGTACCGTGGGCCAATTCTTTGCCGTTTCCAGGGCAGCCCGCTACAATGGTCAGCTATGATGCAAACTGTATGTCCTGCAGAATCACCTTTATTTATCCTAATAAGAGGACTAATCTTTTCCAGAATTTTGCACTTGAATATTTCCTCAGAACTGCATTATCTGTGGAGATAGATGGAGATGCTACACTCCTGGTCGGTAGTGAAGATTGATGGGACTTGAGTTCAGCAACATCTGGAAGATCACATGTTCCTATCTGTCCACTTTGTCTCTATATTTTAGATGCTTATATAGGTAAACTGTGAATTGTTTTTTTTCCCCAGGTCGTTCCTTCCACTGATGAAGATTGATTTGAATTCTTATCCTGCCTACCAAGTTCTCGATGGTCCATGGTGAAACTGTAAAGCCTTTAAGCTTGATGGACCAGTCTCCACATTTTAATTTACACCATCGATGAACAGAATCTGAATAGACCAGAACTGAGGAACTGCACTTACTACCTCTTGCCAATTGCAGAACAATCCATTAAAAAGTCATTTCTAGGTATGAATTTTCAATTGATTCTTAATCTATCCAATAATTATTTCAGATTAATGCATTATATGTTTAATCAATTACATTTATTGTGTCAATTACTGTCAATTGCCTCAGAAGACGCTATTTCTTGAAAAATCCATCGTAACTGCTCACTGCATATCTATTCATTTTCTGTCTGGCATAACTGTTGCTGAAATTAATGGGAAAATAATAACTATGATATTGCACTTGTTTTGCACGGGTAAAACTCTAAGGAAGTACTGAAAAAAATCTCCTAAGACTTTATATGGCCTATGCCAAGCAGAGTACCCAATATTAGGTTAAATAGGCATAGTTTGAGCTGCCTAAGGCAATCTTCGACAAGTAGACTTCGACAAGTCCCTCACTGGGACCATCAACTTGGTTCCCCCAATCATTAAATGAAGCAGGAACTAAGTGAAACATCATGATTTTGCTATTACCGACCTGTGAAGGTCATAAATACAAGGATTGCTCGTAAAATTACTTTTTCACCCGATCATAACTGCAAATGTTTGCTAAATGAGGGCTACCTATACATCCTTTTAATCAATAATGAGATATTTGCTGTTGATTACAGGGCAACCAAGATATCTTATTTTGATAGTATTGCTGTTGAAAAACCCTCAACAATATTATTCTGAACAGGTTAAGCCAATTCACATATTATGGAGTGATAATAGGGTTGTAATTCTCAATCAAATTCTTTCTGCTGATTCAGAAAATGAAAGCATCACAAAATCTGGTTAGAAGGTATTGACGAAGGTTTCTTGCTCATTCCTTGTTGAAAGTTTGCGATGTGGAAGGAAATATAGGGTCATCTCCTTTCTTTAGGACTGGTTTCATTAAAGATTAAGCTGAAACATTTTATTATATTTGTTGGTATGAAAATATGCCTATTGGCTAGGAAAACTAGGCTTCGATTCTCATCTCTCTTGCAACCTGACTTCATGGTATGTGTAGCTTATTCTTTGCGGTACATTCTGTGATTTTTTGCAATAAAGCTCATATGAACATTTTCACATAGTCATAGTTATTCCGGAAACTAATCAAGGAGAGAATCAGTCTAGAAATAAGGAGAAATTTCCTGACAATTAGAACAATTAATCAGTGGAACAGCTTGCCTTCTGAAGATGTGAGTGCTAGAGGTTTTAAAGGAGGGAATGGACAGCCACTCATCTGGAATGGTATAGATAGGGTCTTCCGCTTGAGCAGGGCATTGGACTAGAAGACCTCCAAGGTCACTTCCAACTGTTGCTCTGTTATTTTGTCACATATATCTGAATAGCAGAAGGAGGAATAAATACACCTGTTTTTCCCATCAATGACTCCATGGTCAACAAGTATAAGAAAAGAACTTTGGTGTTTGTAGCTCCTTCACCCAATTCTGGCCTAACAATCTAACCAGAATTCTTGCTCAACCAGAGCATCCCTAGTTCAATGCGTATTACATGGATATGAGCTTACTTTTCATACCTCTCCCCAAATGAGGATAGATGGATAGCATCAAATAAACACAATTCATACAATTAGTGTATGAAACTTCATGTTTCTGTTCTATCAATTGAGGATATTATGTATATATGTATTGTAGGTTTCTATGTGTGCATGTCTGTATGTTTGTGTCTTTTCATGCTCATCAGTTTACCCGTAGCTTTCAACACAGGCAACGTTTGCAAAATACTTTGAACTTTTACATGGCTTTATATATTGACTTGTTCATTGAACTAAAAACCATTTTTATTCCTCCAGTTAAAAATGTTCTAGTTAAGAATATGGACTTATAAAGAAAAAATGGAACATTTTATACTTTGGGAATTTTGTTCAATTCCATATCATGCTATTGAATAATTTATATGTTTGTGTGTGTGTGTTTCATTATTTTAGACACAAAGCATGTGAACTGATGAATATCTTTCAAGTGCAGGCATAAAACAATACTATAAATAGATAAAATGTTTTATGAGCATTTTTCCATTAAAGCGTACAGATTTACCCTTTTTCAGTTTTACCAATTCTCAATTGTAAGTTGTATATCAACTAATTATTAAAGAACAGCAAGAAAATGTATTGCTGCCATATACACATTTCCCCACATATGTATTTTATACTCCATTTTCCTTAACATGCACATTTCCAAACTGAGAATATATTTGCAAAATATAAAGAAATGTGGAATTTAAGTATATGGACCAAAAGAATTCCCTGAGGTTGGTCTTCATTTCCATATATATTGGTAGCTTTAATTGCTATGAGGTTTTTAATTGGTTCTTATTAATGGATATTTCTAATCATCACCTAGAATATTTTTAATGGAAAGGGAGTGTATGGATCTTTATAGATATATTTTTTTTAAAAATGAATTTTTCCCGCAAATATTTCCCACACATAGAACCAATGGAAAGCAAAACCAGTGGCAACAGAATATTAATTTGTAGGATATCAATGCCCTTCAAATTGCTATCTCCCAGCAGGATATTTCATACATTAAAACTATGAAATTCAGTTCTGTGGTTATCTGGGAAAAAATGGTGCTGTAAATGACAGACCTGCAAAAATACTCGAAGCAAAAATATAATTAATAAAATGTTAATATAGGGCCCCATATGCCTTTCTCTACCTCCCATTGCTCAAGGGCAGATTTTTAAAAAATGGCCTGGGAAATCATTTGGAGCCTCTTTTGCACAATCACTTGACTTTAAGCTAGGTTTAATTTTCTTAGCAGATTTTTTTAACTGCCACTCATCTTCCCTCCACCCCCTTTAAAAAGAGCCAGTTGCATCAAAGCCATCTGTCAGCTACTTGAACAGTTCTGATTTATATTGATCAAGCATTTGATAAGCTACTATTGCAATAGTATAGTATATACTATAGTTAGTGTGTTATTTGTGTGTGTGTGTGTCTGTGGTGTCTGTGTATATATGTGTGTGTGTCTGTGTGTGTGTTGTATNCTCCTTCATTCCCTTCTTCCTTCCCTCCTTTCTTCTCTCCTTCCCTCCTTGCTTCCCTCCTTGCTTCCCTCCTTCCTTCCCCCTTTCTTCCCTTTCTTCTCTCCTTCCTTCCTTCCTCCTCTCCTTTCCCTTCTCTCCTTCCCCTTCCTCTCCTCTACCTTTCCCCTCTTCTTCACCTTTCCTCCCCTCTCTCAAAGGGATTTTTTGTTGGGACAAGGAGTTTTCTTCATGCTCTTGGGAGGTCCAGGTAGAACAATTTCTATGCATGTGTCTGTGTCTGAGTGTGACTGATCTTTGGGGTTCAGAGTTAGATCCCACCTATCAAGGTCACCTATAATAAATGGCTCGACGTGTACAGCCCATCTTCACACCTGTCCAATTCAAGAGACCCTCTGTTCAGCCAGCTCTCTCCACATTTACGATTGCTAAGGTCTCCCGTGCAGGATGGATGCCGCCGCGGCCTTGTACATCTTGTTTTGCACAGTGACAACAGCAGCCCCAGCCCTAAGCAAATATTAATTCGTCTCAATCAAAGGCAGGCTGTCTTTGCTGGCAGCCCAAGCTGAGTTGTTTGTGGCAGGAGGGAATTCTCCCTTACAACCGGGCTGAATCTTACCCAGCAACAGCTGCAGTCCAGCTGCTGGCAGCCTTGCTGCGCCGAGTGCTAAACCTCTCAAGGGTCAGAACTGTGGTATGTCGGTCTCCATAGCAACCAGCCAATGGGCTACTTCTGCAGAACAATTCCTCTCCTCAGGCTGAGTTGGAGAGTTAGCTCAGCCGATGGGTATGCGTCTCCAAGAGCACTGGGTTAGCAAGGTCTGGGGGGGGGGGTGTATATTTTGAATTTCTTCTTAACCCTTGAGATGCAGGAGGAGGAGGAGGAGGAGGAGAAGGAGGAGGAGGAAAGGGGTGCCGTTCGTCTGGCCACCCTGAAGGGAGAGATTTTGGTGGGATGAAAAGGTGGATACCTTAAAATTTGGGGAGGGGGAGAGAAAAAAACGACAACAGTAAAAATGAAATTGGCAGAGGTGCACAAGTCCCTTGATTGTGCCCTGGTCTGCTTCTTCCTACGGTATGGATACATATCTGCATATAATTCCTACAAATTTCAAGAATTTAATAAAATTTCCAATTTAATAAAATTTGNCTGAAGTAGCCTGCAGTGCTGCATTTAACCACTGCGCCACCTCGGCTCTTCCACTAATTAACAATTAGTGGAATGATTTGCCTCCAGAAGCTGCAGGTGTTCCAACACTGGGGGCTCTTAAGAAGACATTGGACAACTATTTGTCTGAAATGGTATAGGGTTTCCTGCTTGAGCATGGGGTTGAACTAGATGACCACCAAGGTCCCTTCCGACTTTGTTATTCTGTTTGGTTAAGATCTTGGTTAGATGAAGCTATTATTGTGGTTCCAAAAAGCTTCAGTTGCTGTCAATAACCATGTCCAAAAGTTAACAGAAAACAGAAAAAAGTTTTGCAAATCCGGATTTTTATTCCCACTTTACGTTGTAAAGACAACAGTTGTTTACTTTCTTCAAGTAAATAACTATTTGTGAGAAAGTCCTCACATATATCAAGGCTACAAAGCATCCTGCACATGATAGCTTTAACCATAGAAAGGGAATAGCGGACTATTATTTAGCTGGACATTATGGTGGGGAATGTTACTTTTTGGCGAGCCAGTTTTTTTGTCTTGATCCGTTTAGAAGGCACTGAGGTATGATGACTTTTCCAGCTGCTCACCCAGGCTTCATACAGGGCAGGGAAGATTTGAGTTAGTTTAGTTTGAATTTGAACAGCATTGTTAAGGTGTCTCTTTCATTAAGTCATGCCTTCAACCATCTCATCTCAAAAACTTAAGAGATGTCATTGATTTCATCATTGCTGCATGCTCCGATCCAGCTTTAAACATTCGCAGGAAGAAACATTTGAATTGGCTGCTGTGTGGTGATCAATGTTTGACTGTAATGTGTGAATGATGGCACAAATCTGGGTTGCTTCTCCCTGCCACCCACCAGTATCCCCTAACAA